TCCAAGCGGACGCAGTTTTTAACTAGAGGCCGGACGCGGGCGCTTTGGAGGCAGGACGCGGGCAGAGCAGACGCAAGACGCGGGCGTCGTGGAGGCCGGACGCGGGCGCTCTGGAGGCAGGACGCGGGCAGAATGGACGCAAGACGCGGGCGCTCTGGAGGCAGGACGCGGGCAGACGCGGGGACAAGTTATTTCTTGGCAGTACTGTATAAGCAAATGTGATCAAAATTTCTATAATTTTACAATCATATAATCATCATTAATTAACCCATTGAGCTGCCGCAATGCACCCCAGTGCGCCCTACTTTTTTTTACTTGTCCAACACCAGACGATTTTACATATCAATGGGGAAGCTCTGCAGCTTAAATAATTAATCATCGCCAGTCATTCAACAGGTCAGGCGTTGGCCAAAATTCTGAAATTTTGGAGATAGCAAAAATGTTGACATTTTCGACAGGTCTGGGGTGGGCCAAAAGCTAAAATTTTGGAGTTGGCAAAATATTTAAAACTTTCGACAGGTACTGGCCCAAAATTCTGAAATTTTCGACAGCTCCAGGGTGGGCCAAAACACTGAAATTTTGGAGAAGCACAAAAATTGGAAATTTTCGGCAGGTCTGGGGTGGTCCAAAATTCTGAAATTTTCTACAGGTCCAGGAGGCCCCAAAAACTGAAATTTTGGAGATGGTAAAAAATTTGAAATTAGGAAAGAAATCTCCAATTTTCGACATGTCCGGGGTGGGCCTAGTCTGCGCACAGACTGTCCCTTTGCAGTAGAAGTAGAGTCGAGTCCCGACATCAATATTAACTAGAGATGCATATTTCCTATGGACAAATTTAGGCAATTTGGTTCAATAATTAGTGTGACAACAGACGCCATTTTGGCACGCTGTATGAGCAGCCTGCAACCACCTGGAGAAAATAGGGTCGCACGGTCAATCGCGTTGAAAAAATAATAGGGTCGGCAGAAAAAAATAGGGTCGGTCGGGAACCGGAACCACAGGTATTTTTTTTTACGCCTTATGTAAACAAGGTCAATAGACAATAGACAAGGTCAAGCAAAACAATACAACGAAATCGAACCATAAACTCGCAAAAAAATATGCCAGACTTGTAAATTCTACCAAATTTTTTTCATCCCAAAAAATTAAATGCTCTTTTGTGTGGCAATGTCTGCCCAACAGCATCCGGAAACTTTATGTATTACTAATCGGTAAAACCGGCATACTGACGTTTCGAAATTAGCTAAGCAAATTTATGCAAATATAATTTTGAAACGAACCAATGAAAAACTGCCGATCATATTTCGGCGGTAGCCGTACGGCATTACCGTCGAATGACAGCAGACTGTTATCCCGTGGGGGAGCGGGATGCAGTCTGCGAGCAGACTAGGGTGGGCCGTGTAGCAATTTTGGAGATGCCCAAAAATTTGGAATTTTCAATAAGTTCGCGGAGGGCCAAAATTCTCAAAATTTCGACAGGTATGGGGCGGGCCCAAAACTAAAATTTTGGTGATGGTAAAAAATTTGAAATTTTTGACAGGTCCAAGTTGTACCAAAAATCTGAATTTGTCAACAGGTCCGTGGTAAGCGAAAACACTGACACTAATTGGTAAATTTTAAATTTTAGACAGGTACGGGGTTGGCATTTTGGAGTTGACAGGTCTGTGGTGAGCCAAAAATGGTGGATTCCAAACTACAGTACTTTCAAAGATGCAATTGATTGCCTGTATGGCACTGTGAATTAAATCACCCAAATACCTGACTACAACCCTGTATTAACCCACTTAAATGTGTCGGACTCCCCTTGACAAATAAAATTGTCTGGCGTTTATAGACAGAATATAATTAGGTTAATCTAAGGTACAAACCTTGGTAAGTGGTCAAGGTATTGCGCAATATCTCATTATCATTGATATCCTCATCTGAATCAGAGGACGACAGATATGTTTCATCTGTAAAATTAGCTGCTGCTTGCCGGATTTCTTCGACCTTCTTATGACGATCTGACAGGTCTGCTGCCTTGTCTGTGCTTATATCAGGTTTTTCTCTGGTAAGGACGGGTGGGCCAGAATTCCATGCTGACGTGGTCTTTTCCGACTTCTTTCCATTTTTAAAATTCGATCCTTGTTGAGAGTTTGATCGCTGTTCCCTATTACCACGACCCCTACCGCGACCGAGAAAAGCTGGTCGAGATTCCATCGCTAATATTAAATAATCTTATCTTGACATAAATAGTGAAATAGCGCTCAAACGTCGACGACGTTTGAGAAAATTCTTCACCGCCATATTGCTTTTGCGGTGCAAGACGTCATGTAAACTGCAATATAGTGGGTTCATTGTGCCGTCGTCATAACAACACAAGATGGCGGACTAAAGTGAACTGCTCATTTACTGATTTTAGTGATTTGCACTTTTTCAAGTCGATCGCAAGATGGCGATGGAACAAGTGCAAATTATAAAGGATACACATAATAAATCGATTACAGCTGTAGGATATAATCCAATAAAACATGAGATATTAGCTGGATTTGAAGGTATATTGGCAAACATTTTTCTCTCATTCTTAATTATCGCCGAGATGGCCAGATATATTTTAATAATAACTAAAGATTCTGTTGTACGCATGTTGTACTATATTCGTAGTAATTCTAGTGGTCTTAGATATGGACTATAATTTTATAAGGTGATCTGAATATCTGATGTTGTACAGAACTCAATATGGGTTGATCGTTGATGAATGATGACCCCTCTGCGCTTATTTATTTTTCATTTAAATCCCAGGATAATTAGTCATAGTCATTTAAGTCATGTTAGAGTAGTTAGACCAGTTGATGTAACACAGCAGTAATTTGGTTGTATATAGGTTTAATAGATGGGTAAACTTTGCTTACACATTTTATGTAAATGTTGCATCCAGTATGTGCAGATATGATATTTTGTCATTTTGAACGCTTTAATTAATTGATACATATAGACCATATGTATTTCAAAATTACATATTGTGCATGACCAGACTGGAAAGTTTGTAAAATGTGTGAAGGACTGAAGGAGCTCGATTCCTGAGATTGTTCATAAGTGACCTAATTAGGTTCAAAAGTGTGCAAAAGAAGAAAACCTTTGGGCAATTAATACAAACTATCCAATCTGGGCACATACTAGCAGGCGAATTAAGTTTTTATACAAAGTTTACTATTAATATATGACATATCACTGTCACGTTCAGAGGCAAACATTGACCCGAAGCGAAGTGTCAATGACATGTTATCATTATAAGATAAGTTATATTTGTGAAAACTAGAAAAATACATATTAAAGACATGCTTAAATAAACTACATACATTTACTACTTATTAATTAAGTACAATTGTTCAAATACATAGACTAAATAAACTCACATTATATCCCCAAGAGATACTTCAATATTGAGGTCTACTTGAAGAGACTCTCATGAACCTTGCTTAATATACTAAATCGTGTCTAATTTTGACCCCAAAATGCTGGATACTGTAGATATAAACGTAGATTGACTGATTATGCTACAATTTTAAAATAATCTAAATATAGTTTGTTTTATGTACAGTATAACCAAATATCACAGTGCTTTATCATAGTACTGCTCTATCATAGTGCTATCATTGTGGTCACCGTTTATTATCCACCGGGGCAGTCTGTTGAGAAAGAACATGAAATGATAAGCTACCTCACAGATGGTCTGGACAAGGTCCTTCATTCTCGTCCTTCGACAGGAATAATTATCGCTGGGGATTTTAACAAACTGAATTTAAGACGCCTATGTAACCGCTTTAACCTAAAAAAAATGGTTTCGACTCCCACAAGAGGTAATAACATCTTAGACCAGATTTTGACCAACATGGCTGACCTCTATTTACCTGCCAAACATCTACCCCCCTTGGGTCGTTCTGACCACCAATGTTTGCTGTTATCCCCCCCAAAATGTCAACAAACTCCCCCCTACCTCCAAAAAAGTTAGACTACATAAACCCGAAAACAAACAAACATTGAGTAGAACTGTTGCCCTCCAAAACTGGGACAATGTTTTAATGGCAACAGATGTGGATGATAAAGTCGAAGCATTTAATAGAACGATACTCTCTTTGCTAGACAAGGCTATGCCAGAAGTGACAATCCGAATGCACACATCAGATAAACCTTGGATTACCCCAAAAATAAAGGCACAGATTAAAGCTAGGCAAAAGGCTTACTGCCGCGGTGATAAATCCAAGTACGACCAATTATGTAAAAAGGTCTCCAAGTTAATTCGGAATGCAAAACAATCGTTTTATCACACCGAAGGGAGAGATCTTCGTCAAAAAGATCCTGCAAAATGGTATAAAACTGTCTATACTCTGTTGGGTGCTGAAACGAATCATAACTCTTTACAAACTCCATCTAATGAAGATCTGTCTAAGGTTGCTGAAAACCTACAAACTGCTTTTACAAACCCATGGAAAGATATCAATGTTGACCTCCCGGACATAAATGAAGTTAACCACTTACTTAAGGATACGTCACCACCGCTACCTTCCTTAGGGCAAGTACCGTCCTGCCTAAAGCACCTTAACCCAAAGAAAGCAACAGGGATAGATAAAATCCCTGCCTGGTTTTTAAAGCACTACTGTGATGATCTTACGCCAGTGATACATAGTATCGTAACAGGCAGCATTACCCAATCCAAGTATCCTACTGCGTACAAGCATGCAATTGTAACTCCGGTACCAAAGATACATCAACCCAAAGATATAAACAACGATTTCAGGCAAATTTCTGTGCTTCCTCATCTAGCTAAAATGATAGAGAAAATCCAGTTGGAACTCAACTCTCATGATTTGGCAATAAAGGACAACCAACATGCTTTCGTTAAAAATCGATCTACTGTTTCAGCCCTGATCTCGAT